TTCTAACATAAGGACCGTATGCATGGTACCTAGCACGTAATGGTTAACCATCGATAGACAAACACACAAAGACTTTATCGCAAGGACTCACATTTCATTATGTAAGTTTGTCCTGGGATTCCTTCAAGTTATCCACAGCAACTTCACAAGCTTTGAAATCCTAGGCCGAACTGATGAGACATACTCCAACAAACTCATTTCAGACCTACCACTAATCCAATCCTACTGTAAGTGCGTTATATGTCCACGAGCAGAATGGCCAAAGACAAGGTCAAAAGGACGGAAACCGACGGACTCCTGACCTAACTCCATCGCAGCAAACAACACACACTTGCATCCTTTGTAGTCTCATCCCAATCCTTCTAAGCCTCAAAACAGTAAATCCTTGTCATATTCGTAAGATCCTGATAAAACCTCTCTAAAGCCCCTTCAGACACAGGATGAGTTATCCGTAGCTGGTGCGTGCTGAGGTGATAACAAACGCTATGTGCAAGTGACGATATCTGTCGAATTACGTGTCAAAGGTGGTAAGCAGAGCCGTCTCATGTGAACCCTTTTGGAGCGTGCATTTGGGTGAATAGCTTTGCTGATGGCATTCTGGACATTATTTCTTCAATGTTTTTCATTGGATAATGTCTCTTCAATGCACGTTTGAGATCTTTGGAGGGGCACGGGTGGCCCAGTCGTCTTAGGCGCTGTGATTCGCTGTGCAGAGTTGTGTCCTTTGGACGCGCCAGAAACACATGATTGTAGGTTCAAATCCCATTTCGCCCTGATTGCATTTCAAGTTTGTCAGCACCATACCCGTGCTCGTGGGTTTCACCGAAGTGGTAAACGTCTGAGACCTGCATCATTGTTGGCTTCCTCCAACATTAAGCTGACACGCTGCGATATAACTGAAATACTGTTAAAAGCGTCATTAAATCCAATTCACTCACTCACTCACTGGGATCTTTGGTGTCAATACATATCTGTACACTGTCCGAACCCTTTTTCTCTGTCACTACCATTGGTGAGACCCTACCAGTTGATTCGTTTATCGGACAAATCACCCCTTCTTCAGTCATTTTATTCAATTCTGCTCTTACCTTTTCTCTCCTAGGTACATGAACTCGACGTGGAGGTCTGATTGCTGGAAATTAATCATGATCATTCGACACAGGCAAGTTTCCAAGTTTACCATCAAACAATTGGGGATATTTGTCAATAAGGTCCTGTTTGGTCATTCTTGTTTCAGCTTTCACATCATGTATGTGAAACTTCACCATGCCTAAGGCAATTCTGTCTTGTATCCCAAGTCTTGAATTTCACTGGGCTGTAATGTGGAATACAAGTTTGTGTAGTTTGCTCTTGAAGCAAATATTCACTTTGCTTTTTCCCAATGTCGTCATGGTGTCACCTCTGTGAACTGCTAGTTTGACTGCTCCAGGTCTGGAAATTAGTTCTTTGTGTCTCACTTGTTTGAACAAAAAGAGAGACATCACATTGCATTTAGCACCAGTGTCAACATTGAAGCTTGCTGGTTTGTCATTTAATGTGATTGTTGTTTGTGCTTCTGATGGAATGTTGTCTATACCATTTATCTCAATAGTGTCAATAGACAAGCACTCATTTCTATCTTGTTCATACCAGTCGTCTTGAGTTTCACAATGGCTAGCTGGCTGTAGATCATGAATAGTTTGTGATCCTTGATACTTTGGTATACTTTTGGCACTTGTATGACATCTACCTCTGCGTCTTGGACTTGATGTCCATTTCAAATGTCCACTGGCACTGTGACGGTATGTCTAACGGCCAGATGGACTGGACTGACAAACTAATTGAAGTGGTTGAAGTTGTCGCATCTGTGACACCTTTTTCCAAAGGCCTGGCACCGGCCTTGTTGGTGTTTCCACGCACATCATCTGCAGTCTCTCATATTTCCTCCAACAGGATGTGATCAATAACTTGGTTTCTTTCAATTCAAATTCCGTTGCTAATTTCTGTGTGATTTCTTGTACCCCTTTTTTCTGATAGTTCATTGACATTACACAAGGTCACAGCTTTAGTTGATATCAGGTTTGTTTCTTACAATAACAACTTTCTCAAATGATCTGATGCTATTCCACACACGATTCTGTCTCTCAACATTTCATCCTTTAGAACTCTATTATTACACGCTAGAGGCGAAAAGACGGCGCAGAGTGTCTTTCTGTTTATGATGCTAATTGACCGAAAATATTCAAAACATAACTGTGGTCGTCAATATTAACGTGGTATAATGAATATTTATAGGCAGGAAGCTCAAAATCAACACGTAACCATTGACTGACCAACACTGAATGATCGATGGGGCACGTTCGCATCAGCGTTGTGTCGCGATTTCTTGTCATCAAGTTCTCCTACATGCTCGCCCGTTTTGACAAATAACTGCTGTAATATTCCTATATTTTTTATAAATGTGTGTATCAAATAGACATTATAAATGGAATCTGAAAACGGAATACCTTATTATCACACGAAAGGGTTCGTATTTCCTACATTCTGAGATCTTATTAGTTTTATATTTACAAATTATTGATGTTCAGTGTAGTCTTGATTATAATAATCTATCCCAATCCTTAACTTTTATTTGTTATGTTGTGTAAGCTATGAGTACACACTTTGGTTTTTGTGTATAAAATATCTTGTAAAGGAGAAAGATGAATGCATCATTGTGTTTATTTAGACTGTTGTTCAGTTCAAGTCATATATGTTCCCTCCATGCTGTATCTAGGCCAAAAGATGAAAAGGGAAAGATATATACTGATTGAAACGAATAAGGGAACAAGGAAAAATATAGAGAATTAAGCTTCACTATGAGTTCATTTGAAATGGCGCGCTTTCAAATTCAACACATGTCAAAATCAAATGTTGAGATGTATTTGTGTGCATTGTTCCCAACTCGAATTTGGCTGGCAACCCATGATAGCGCATCATTGTACTGTGTCTGAAACTAAATGTTCCCTTCGTTTCCACCAGTATAATTGCTGAAAACCACTTATATTAAAGACTTTGCTAGTTTTATGTTTTAATTCAGTTTCATATTCTGCTTTCCCTTTTATGACAAATAATTCCATTAGTTTCATTGATCTACGATCATTATCTAATTCAAACGTTGCTTGAAATATATGTGTGTCTTTAAGTATAAATAAAGGTGTTAATACATATTCATTTATAAAAGAAAACATAGATTAGGAAAGGAAATGTGTTTTAATGTGTTTCCAGCTCCTTCATAGTTTCTTAATTTTCTCTTTCTTTGTAGATATTACTTCCTTATTTCACCTGCAAAGACTATCGTTTCCTTGGATGAAATATGGACTACTGTACACCTCTTGCGCTTTCAAATACACGTATAAAAATTTAAATGAAGTAGGTTTAAGTCATTAACAACGTATAATGATACCCAACATATAAATCAGCAGTCTGCATGATTGCACAAAAAATTCTTGTCTGAGATGGCGCGCGAGTTACGAGTGATCGAAAATAGGTTTGTTAAATAATTTTGCTGCAAATAGAAATGATTCAACAATTCTGATCAAATCTACATAAACTTACTCTTGGGTGATAGTATGTTAGTGTAATCTTGTTTATTATTAAGCAATGATCATGATGTCCGATATTGATTGATATCAACTTGAGGATTGTTTAGGCTGTTTAGCCATTTTTTATATATTTTCCTTTGAAAATGTCTGATGTCAATCACCACGATGATGTTTTTTATCAATAATGAAAAAGCAGGGACATTGAAATATATATGGACAAAACCAGGTTTCCATCAAGATATATCATCCAAGCTGTCGTTCGTATTGTAACATAATCTTTGAAACAGTCTGTGAATGAACTAATCACGACCACTTTTATCAATTTTGTTTTGACAAAAAAACACTAACAATTTCAGCAGGATTTTTTTATCAGTAAATTAAACTCACAGGCAACTCTTAATGAATGTTTACTTTGGCATAAATGTCATATGTCTATCATCGTAAGGATGTACTTTACAATGATATGATTTAGGGATCTAGTTTCAAACAAGGGCGCTTGCTGGACTTTACTTGCCACATTCGGATGCTTCAATATTACAGTTCATGTAACAACAATGGCAAACGATCGATGTGTACGTCAACGTCAGAACACGCCACAGACACTCCCACAACTGGCCAACGCGATTCAGGCAGAATGGTGCAGAATTCGTACTCTTATCAAGTCAGTGCTGACGAGATGCAGAGCCCTGATTGCTACCCGGTGCGGGCACACGAGATACTGAGTTCAGCGCAACCTTGTGGCCTTATGTAACATGACAATGAACATTTGTCAATGCATTTTAACAACGACAACATGTGACTATCGAGCTCCAATATTTCATATTTGTATCTATAATATTAAATGAAATATATCGACTCTTCGACTGAAGAGTGTATATATCTGCCTTTGTTAAATTATGACTACCACATAGTCCATGTGTTGTGTGCAAATGTCATGAAGTCTTTTGCATTGTGCCGCCCTGTGTTGGCAGAGACAACGGCCGGTCACTTTGGTGCAAGGCCTTGGCCGCAATGCAGTGACGTCATCAACAGTGTGACGTCACCGTCATTGTACCTTTGCCGCCACATCAGCTGGGCGAACCTTGGCTCAATCTGAGGTCACCGAGTGCAGCGAGATATAAAGAAACAGCTTTTGTCTGTTTCAAGATTAATTGTACACTAATGACACACAATTAACACTGAATAATTATATTACGAGATAAGGTGTTTATACAATAATCACACATCATCTATATCTACACAAAGTTAATTTTCTTACCTGATCATGCGAAGTTCCTTACACAACAAATGACAAAATATATGGACAGATTTTTAACTAGTTATATTTCTCCAAAAACACAATAAACATTCTCACCTAATCCGGAAATATATAACACGACGACATGAACGGCAAACCACAGGTCCCCCTCCAACGTCTACACAAACACGACATTGATGTCACGGAGCGCCGCGGGACACCAGGAGATCCACCAGTCTCTGATGTCCCATGGATCTCACCATGTCAACCGCTGTCCGCCCGTTTTTGTTCTTGACATTGATGTGCTTCACGTTCAGAGACTGAACAATCCCCACGTCTCCTTTCACAGAGGCCCAGTGAAGGACGTTCTCACCGCCATCGTCCACCACTGACACATCAGCTCTTTCATTCATAAGGAGCTTCACCACTTCACTGTGTCCCATCACTGCTGCCCATATCACCGGTGTCCTGCTCCCCACTCCTCTACTGTTGATGTCCAACACGTTTAGAGACAGGACAAACTTCACCGTCACCAAGTTTCCACTCACACAGGCCCAGTGAAGGGTGTTGTTACCGCCATTGCCCACCAGTAACACATCAGCGCCTTTACACTCCAGGAGCTTCACAACCTGTATGTGCCCCCAACGTGCTGCCTCCATCACCGGTGTCATGCTCCACACTCTACAGTTGATGTTGACATGACATGCAGACAGGAGCCGCCTCACTCCCTCCAGGTCCCCGTCCGCGCTGGCGTAGTAGAGGTCGCGGTCTGCTTGTGATGGAGTCGCTGTACCACAAAGTAAACTCAAAGTGTTGATACGTGACATGAACGACGATACATCATTAACTATTTCCTATATGGATGACAACAATAAACCAAGGACAAGGTTTAAGTACTTAACTAAGAATAATCGATTTATGTGGGGGTGGTCGTGTTACTGACACTTTCAGTACACTTGCTGTTTGAAATTGTTAAGATAATATGATATCTATTGCTTTATATCAGCTTGTTACTAGTAATTAAATACACTGTTTCAATGAAAGGTTAGGTGTGAGCTTTCTGCCTGTTGGCTTCTCCCACCTACCGTGTGAAGCAGTGGAGAGCAGTGGAATCCTCTCACTCAGGTCACTCGAGGCTGAAACAGAACCTATAGATATATAGTAGTTTAGTGATTGTCAAATAAATTAATTGACTCATAAATATACAACACAAATATAAATGCTACCTACCACGCGTGTCTACACATCTGCTTTTTAGATTGATTCTTGATGATGGTAGTTGACATGTTTGAAATTAATAAGATAATAAGGGAATACATTAATCAAGTTGTTAATTGTAGAGGCTGTTTATAGGAAAGTTGAGGAGTAGAATCTAGGCTTCCTGGCTGTTATGTATACATAATGATCAGGCAAAATATCATACAAAGTTGGACAATGACACAGTTTACCAAATGCTGGTGTGAGAAGGTGAAATAGTGATAATTTCCATGTTCAAAGGTTAGTAACCCTTTGGCTGGGTGCGCTAAAATACTTGTCTATAGATGTAAACACAATTGGTGATGTATATGTGAGGTTTCCATTAATTTTGACAGTCTGGGCCAAGTCAGAGCAAACACATGTGCTTGTCCTGGTCATAGTGTCTGATGTATGTGTGACCGAAACAAGTACCTTGGGGTGCCTGTCCTGGTCATAGTGTTTGATGTATGTGTGACCGAAACAAGTACCTTGGGGTGCCTGTCCTGCTCATAATATCGGATGTATGTGTGACCGAAATAAGTACCATGGGGTGACTTCCGGATGCGCACGCACAGTGACAAGTCATACTCGTAGAGCGCTCCGCCCGACCCACTGTCATGAGATTTTATCCACATGAATCTTTGAAGATTTTGAAGTCGAAAGGCATTAAAATGTCACCAATGTAATAAACAACATTAATCGGCCTACCTTTAGAATACCACAAACTTTTCAAACACGTGATCATACCCTATGACGTAATTTGTAGCATTTTGTTGCCAGTCACACCGGGGAAACAATGCCCTGTGACGTCAGGGGTCATCGATTGTGCATAAGCTCCTCCCAGTGATCTATCATCTCTACACGAAATGTCATTGAATACGCCAAGCGCTGTGGAGAGTTTTGAATATTTGTTTACTGCATATAGACTGCGGCAGCGCATTTTATAGCAAGCGCTAGTCTACGAAAGCACTTTTATTTTTTATATATATTTTTTTTCGTTTTTCTCTTAATTCAAGTGGCTAAAAGTGTTATGAATGGGAACTAATATACATATATTAGTTTTTCAGTGCATTAATTTTCATTATTATGCGCAAGAATGTAGTTTGTTAGGGATATTTAGTGGTGCTGAACACTACCAAATGTCGCCAGTGTTAGGGTAGGTTACCCCAAACTCTATCCTTAGCCCTTGGATCCCCTTTAGTTTACGATAAATCACCCCTTTTCGATCATTAGGGTTAGGAACCCGTTTAGTGGCTATTAGATTACACTAAATCTATCCTTAACCCTTGGACCCCCTTTACGATCAATCACCCCTTTACGATCATTAGGGTTAGGAGCTAGGTACTCGTTTAGTGGCTATTATAGATTATATATTTTGGCTACTGGAAACTGTCCTGGAACATTCACACAAGACACTTTCACTGGCTACATTTTTCAGTACTGATTCAAAAGCGAACTCACCGTTGTGTCGTCACTAGTCATGCTTATTCCTCCATCCTTCCTAACCATTATCCACATCATCCTAACAGTTATCCCTACCACGCTTTTCTGTCACAAAAATCACCCGACGAATGTTTAAATACCATATCGCGAGTTCGACGTCTGACGCCTGGAGCCGTTTTTAGTTCGCGGCATATCGGCTCATTCCCCACCACTCGGTATCTTGTAGATTACGGAATGGAACGAGTATGTCAAAAGGCATCGGGATCATTCGTAAGTGTCCGTAGACTAAAGTCACGAGACACCATGCCTACCCGTAACCTTCGTAAGTGTCCGTTACCTATTCGAGCCTTTTCGTTCAGTTCCGTAACGTCATAGGCATGACTAGGTAAATTTGCACTAAGTTTAACAGTGTGGACGTAGCTCAGTCGGTTAGCTGTCAGGCTAACAATCGGAAGGTCGCGGGTTCGCGTCCGACGGATTCTCACTTAAACTGGTTGCTTGTCTTGTGACATGTGACCTACGGCAGAGATCGTCCTGACGAGTAGTTGTGGTACTGTATTCTAAAGGGGCTCCCATTAATCTAAAGACGCAGGGGAAGGATTTATGAGAATAACGCCACATTACATCTTCAACAGTGAGTACAGCTTTAAAACAACGCCATGCCTCCGAAAACGCGATCCGAAGAATATTTTGAAGACATTGTAGTGAAATCCGAAAAAAGACTGTCTCTGTTAATTGTAGAACTTCGTAATGACCTAGAAAATATGAAAACTGATATTAAAAGTGAAATGCAGAAAATGTCCTCACGTGTGGACGGTATCGAAAACACGGTATCAATCCAATAGGATGAGGTGAATGATTTACGTCAGGAAGTCGCACTGTTGAAGACTAAACTGTCAGAGCAAGCTGAAAGTTTTGAGACTAGACTCACACTTAAAGAAATTCATGACAGAAAGCCGAATCTCTTGATCTACGGCCTGAAGACAGAACCACAGGAAAATTCAGAGAGGGTACTTAGACATTTTTTTATGTATGTGTGACAGAAATAAGTACCTTTGGGTATTTGTCCTGGTCATAGTGTCTGATGTTTGTGTGGCTGCAATAGGTACCTTGGGGTGCTTGTCCTGCTCATAATGTCTGATGTTTGTGTGACCGAAACAAGTACCTTTGGGTGCCTGTCCTGATCATAATGTCTGATGTATGTGTGACCGAAATTGGTACCTTGGGGTGCCTGTCCTGATCATAATGTCTGATGTATGTGAAACCGAAATAAGTTACTGCAAGAAATCGGTCCGACATCTGCACAATCATGTGTAAATATATGAAACATCTAAACTGACTACAAAAATAAACTTCACCACAGCTTTAAATCACTCAAGTTTAAAAACCACAAAGGATGCATTTAGTAAAATGTTTCGACAGGATCAAAATCAACGAAATCAACCAAAAAGAGGTGTATTATCAAAAACAAGCATTCAACTTATTAGGAAAAAAGGCACACACATCTAAAATCAGCCACGTTCAATAGCACGTCACAGCAATAGCGTGTTTGACCACCCTCTTCTTGAAGATACGCAAAAACTCTCCGGTGCACAAAAAAGTTCTGATGACGTCATGTGTGATTCATCGCCATTCCTCTTAGGGATCTGGGTGCCGTTTCACGAAAGCCTCTTAGCTCTACGACCTCCTAACCGCTGCGACCTAGTTTAGGATGTCCTAATGACTTGTCTTACGACCGTTTCACAAAGGCATCGTAAGCCCGTCGTAAACCCCTCTTAAGATAAGAGTGAGATTACGATTTACGACATCCTAACTTGCATAGCAACGCTATACAATTCAAACCGGAAATGGAAGCGCACCTGTTAATTTTTATCAAAAAAGATCCAGATGCTAAACATGAATGAAATAAAAGCTCATATGGTGAGTATAGATAACTACAAACCTGTTCGAGTTTAATGATAGTCTGTTACACATCAAAGTTCCATCAATAGCTGTCAAGTGTGAGGGTTTGAATAGTAAATAACAGCGACGACAAGCTGCATCGGCAAAAATAGTAACTCTCTTGTGTGGAAACACGGAAGATTGTAATATTAGAGTTGTTCCCCTTCGTAGCGGCAGACGACCTTAAGTTATATATTATGGAGGCTTCTGGACTGAAGAAAAGAAAGAGAAACTTCACCTCGTCTGACATAGATATCATTGTGTCAGGCGTGGAAAGTAATTTTGACACGCTGAATTCGGCCTTTACAAATACAGTGACAAATAATACAAAGAAGAAGATTTGGAAAGATATCACCACGAAGTAAGCGCCTTTTATTCTGATGAAACCTTAAAATGAAACTCTCATAAAATATAAAAGTGAGTCTATGATTTTCACCCATGAAAGGAGGGGGACATTCCACTATATATTCATTTGTTTATTTATTTCAACTTACATATTTGTTACCCAGAATGTTCAAAAACGTAACAAGAATTTGTCATGTGTTTCAAGGGTCATAAAATGTGAGGTATAATGAAACAAATTGGAAATGGGGGGAAAGTTTTATTGAGAGAAGTGGATCTAGACTGGATTACATAATGTAATGATAGTTAAATAAGGTCAGATTATTTTCATTTGTTTGGTTTCACTTTATGACATAAACAACTACGAACCACCACTTCACTTCAAAATTTTATTAACCTCTCACTGTTAATGATCATTGCATACTGATCAAATATGAAAGAACAGGGGAGTGGGTGAGTGATTGTTCCTCAAAACCACATCATCAATCTTGTCAGTTTTTTCATGATGAACAAATAAAGTAACATCTTACACGAATTTTACACAGTACAGTCATATTTTTAAATAAAGATACCAATTTAAAATAATTTTCACAAATGACACCATTACTAATCATAATAAAATAAAATAATAATAATAATTTTGAATATCAGACTAAATGCCACTGGTGACATAACCCGGAATGAGGATGAAGTACGTAAGAAATGGACGGACATGAAGGGATGTGTGAAGAAGGCAGAGTCAGCCAGGAGGCTGAATGCTAGGAGGACTGGTGGTGGACCACCCCCAGATGACCTAACTGCAACCGAAAAAAGGGTAAATAATTAACATAAATTCATGTCAGCATGAAGCCTACAAACAAAATGTTTCAATATGTACCTGATAAAGTAAAATGGTTTGAAACATATTGAGTTTGTGTGACAATAGACATAATTCATGAAAAACTAATTGTGTATTACACATTCTAAAATAAACTATTATTATAGTAATATAGCCACCAATTCCTTCTTTAAATAGATTCTACAACTGATTCCACCCTGTGCTATAGAGGGGATCTCAGGAGGCATGGAAACACCTGGTAATGATGACACTTCCTTCTTGGGATTCATGTACATGTGTACTAAAGTCAATAAAGTATGTAACTTAATCAAGTTTTATTGGTATTTGATGGTATATTTATGACATATTGACAGTATTTGTTATGATAACACCAATGAAAAATATGTTTTATTTATTTAACAGTGTTCAGCATGATTCCTTCAGTAGCTGATGAAGCTGAAGAAGCTACACAGGCAATAATGTTTGGTAAATAATACTTCAAACTCATTTATTTCTTAGTTTTGAAGATGTAAATAAACTAAATATTGCCATATTCAAAAACTAATTCCTCCTGCATATTGGCAAATTCCCCTTACATATTAAATGTATTATAAATGAAAACATGTATACAAATGAAATATTTGAGATTTCTCGATGCACTTAACGGTCAGGCACAATTAAGCAATATCTTCAATACAAATATTTTAGTGCACTCACAACTTATCTATTTCAGATTCTCAACAGGAGGTGTTTTACACTCCACTGACAGCTACAAGCACAGGAGAAAATGATTGTGGAACTATCACAGGTATGAAATAATTTTTAATAATAAAGATAATCAAATGTTACAATTTACACTGACATGGAACCAGTATGTATTAAACATTATGCAACTTTATTCAATAGTAAATTTGTATTAACATTAAAAAATCAAGTCACTATATCATGAATTCTAGTTAATAACAATACAAATTTGTTTTCAAGGAAAACCTAAAGGGAAGCCTCTGATGAAGAAAACATCTAATGAAGGTATGGCATATATTTGTTCATAATGTAGTGGTTTCAGTATTACATATCATGATCATAAATGTTTAATAAAATAATATTAATGAACATCCAAATATCATTGATATAACCCAAAACTGTCTAAATATTTTCAGAAGACATTCTGGGAGAGATTAAAGTCCTTACAAACCCAGGAGGAGAGAAAGATGTTTCTCCTTGAAGAAATTCTGTCTGTGCAGCGGGACATCCGTGACATCCAAAGACAGAGCCTGGCCCTGGAAAGAGAAAAATTTGAACATAAAAAATCATTTGGAAACTCATTGTCCCCCATAATCAAATTTGATTAAAGGCAGTGACTCATGTTACTGTTTACTTGTGATCACAAAGATGTTTAGTTTGTTTGTGTTATTATTTGGATGTAGCATATGTACAAAAACAATACATTTTCATAAACTCCAAAAAACAATAATATGCAATATTCACAAGTGAGGCCATAAAGTGGTGCTGGATTTTGAAAAAGTGCTACCTTACAACTTTTAGTATAGGATTATTGACATTATGTGGCCTTTTAGTAAAAGTATCACAATTGGATATGTATGCTAACTCATTTAAAACCTAGTGTTGATAAGATTTCCCCTGACTCTACATCCATCTATGTTGTGGTTATCAGCAGGACTGCTGTCCCCCTCTGGTCCAGGATTCTCACAAAGAACATCAGGGTCAGGCAACCTCAGTAATATTGCCAAATAATGAAGTTGAAAGCAGGCAGTAATAATTTTGATGCTCTTCTGTGGGCTGAATAACAGGCATCCTGTTGATTTGTGTAGACACCTAAGCAGATGTAACATACTTATATAGTTGTGTTTACAAATATAGTGATGAATATATCATGATATAACATTTATACTACGTTTTCCTATAATAATTAGATCCACATCAAGTGCTTTTATGAGTTATCATGGTGTAATATTTATACATCATTTCATATATAATTATAGTTTAGCAAGTAATACTTATCATCAGGTAAACGCATATTTTATATTACCTGTTAGTATAAATGTTATATCATGATAAATACATGCCAACAGCACAGGTATTTTGAAATCAGAATGACATACAATCAGCAATACACATGCTCATTAGTCCAGTTACTTCAGCAAAACCTTGAATTAAAACATAAACCTTCCATGAATTAAATATTTACCTGAATCTAGATTTGCACAATCCAAATGCCCTCTCAACTGAGTTCCTTGTTCCAATATGACAGCCGTTGTATTTCTCCTCTTTTTCATTTGCAGGGTTGTTGACAGGTGTCAGGAGGTAGGGTCTACAGGCATACCTAATGTAGAATGTTTTGATAAATTAATGTTCCCGATATATATGTATGTATACATTAAAAGACAAACATGACATAAATAACTTGGACATACATGTACCTACCCTGAATCACCAAGAAGCCAGATGTCATATTTCCCTTCCTCCAGATGCCTTTTCAAATTGCAGTTGTTGAAAATATGTGAATCATGGGTTGATCCTGGCCATTGGACAATAATGTTTGTGAATCTGCAAAAATAAATAAATACATACATAAATAACTAAATCCACAAGTCCACATTCGTTAAGAAAATAATATTTAAATAAGCCGAATAATTATGAAACATTTGGACATAAATAAGCCTACATGAGCTATTGACAAATCAATTATGACACAATGACGTTTATTATCTGAAAGTACCAGCAAGTCTAGATTGTTTGTTTACATTGCAAGGGTCAAGGACGTCAAGGATATTTACCGGAGTTGGGCGTCGCACACAGCTTGCACATTGATGGCGTGGAATCCTTTTCTGCACACATATACTGCTTCTTCTAATGCTGGTCGTTGAATAGGTATCAAAGTACAATCTATGCAGCCAACAACTTTCGGAAAACCACAGATGTGGAAGAAATCCTCCGCTAGTTAAGCGTGTTTGTCGGGCGTTGGAAACCGGATCAAGTCATACGACTTTACGATTGCATCTGTCGTCTTTTCCAACACGCGACAAACACTTGATTTGGCAATACCATGTATATCTCCTAATTCGCTTAGGAATCCCCCTTTTGAAAAGTATCTAAGTGTTACTAACACCTGAACATGGACAGGTAAGGCACGCGAACGTTGGGTCGGCCGAGAGATCTCCGAGCTGACCCGATCAACCAGCTGTAGGATGGTATGTCGAGGAAAGCGATACCTGGCAATCAGTTCTGTGTCGGTCAAAGTATCCAACACTTGAGTCCTATCCCTGAATATTCGCTCTCGCCTAATGTTTCTCCTGTTCAAAATTTCTTTGAATCTCAATAGTGTCGCCATATCAGACGCTGACTTAGGATGTCGTAAGCTAGTTACAAGGGCCCCATACCTATCGTAGGTTAGGAGGTTGTTTACAGTGGGGTGTAAAGTTAGGAGGTCTTTGTGAAACGGCACAAATATTTAAGAGGTTCTTTACGACGTGGTTTAGGAGGTCGTAGCGCTAAGAGGCTTTCGTGAAACGGCACCCTGGATCAGTTCTTGTCGGTTGGCCGGGGGTTTGGTCGCTGTCGAACCCGACGATCCATGGTATCCCAGTAGTGTTTGGTAGCGTATTGGCCACGTCAACACGTTGACGTTGTTGGCTGCTAGGAAGTTCTGTACAAGTTTGTTACATGTTACAGCAGCACTTGAGCAATCAAAACTTCTAGCAATATGGGTGGCTAGCATCTGTATCATACCCAGGGTCCGATCAAGTTTTTCGGGTGTCAATTGTAGCATTTCTGTGGTGGTCTCTTAGTGTGAGTGTCTAACATTCCGTCTCTATCCTTAAAAAAGACCTTCTTACACGTGTAGTTTCGGCCCTCCAGGCGGCCTGTTCTTTTTTCACTTTTTCTCATTTCCTAAAAATAAAGTGTCATTGACGAATATCACTTTCTGCATTGATGTGTTGGCGATGTGTTTTGCATTGATTTAGTTTAAACTTGTGTTTTCAATTTTTTACAATTTAATTTTTCAAGTGGTAAAGTTTCTTTGGGTCTTCAGTTTACTATAGCTGCAATGTACATATTTAAGTGTGCCATCTATGGGTTAAATATTACTTGAAATAGTATATTTTACTAGAATTATGCAGGGGAGATGCAAACAGGAATTTGATTATTTTATTGAGAACACATCCTCCCTCCAATTTCAATATTTTTTACATTGTATTATGTATTTTGTACAATTTTTGTGTGTTGTCTTTGATAAAATACTGTTCCCGTAAATTTTGTTCCCGCCATATTCATATGATGTGTTCTAAATGTACTTGGCTGCAGTACGGTATATGAATGTATAATATAACAATATCTTATGGCGTGAATGCTGTCAGGTTGCACCTATATCATATAGTTTAATTCATAGCAAAAACGTTTATGTTGAAGACGTCTCGCTTGCTTTATGAAATCAAATATCATGATACAGGGTTATCAATAATTACTTTATTATTGACGATAACTTGCTGACAACGCATTAGTGACAAAATATGAATGTCCACCTCTTGAATTGTTTTATTGTTCTTCCCAACATATTCCTGTCAGAAGGATGAAACAGGGCCTTGCAGTCCTATAATTTGACATAGTATATCATCCGTGTGTTGTGTGGTTGTGTTGACTGTGCTTGATGATTGGTTGAGTAAATGGTGGATAACGTGGCAGTCAGCGATAGCAGTGTCAATTATTGAAAATATCAACTTTAATATTCTGGGCAGACCTAAAAAGTGAAACAAAAACGTCAACATCCTCAAGTCAACCAGTTCACCAGATGGAAGCACTATAACATGTTTAGATACATATTATATTGTGTATGTGTAAAAGTATGCTTCAAGTAAAATATTAAAAAGAAATTCATCACTTACACGACCTTGGATTCCTGAAAAAGAATAAAAGAGGAGGTAAGTAAACAGTGATATATTTATCAGTAACAAGCGACACGGTTAGGTCAGTCGTCGTAGCGTGACTCAGGCATGGCGAAAACCTAGGATCGTATAAACCCTTATCGCCCTGATGATGTGTCTAGGTTTGTCAGCACCATAACCGTGGGTGTCAAAGAGTAGTAAACGTCCGTGACCTGCATCACTTCCGGCTTTACACCCACATCAAGCCGACACGCCGTGATATGACTGAACTACTACAAACTTACTCACCACCTCTTCAGTAACACTACCAACAATCATATAGAGAAGATACTACCGTGTGCTTTAAAGAACAGGTCTTCATGAGAATTACCTTCTTATCAGCCACGTGAACCCTTTGTAAAACGTTCTTCTAGATCGTGGACTGCAAAGAGATGTGCTTGATAAAACACAGGGCACCTGCTGACATTTCCTCTTAAACACCAACCACTTTTGGCTGCCACACACTAATATATATTCAAATTTTTCATAAAACCATGTCTTGTGCTGAATTGAAATTGTCATCATTGAACGATCGGATACATTTGCCATCACTCATAAGGATGGCATCATGGCAAAACATAGAGTAACATTAGTGTGTTCGTACAACTGAAACCTTGTAGATTCTAGTACAACATTTTACCCATGTAAAATATGTCAAAGTTATGCTGAACAAAATGAGTTGATCATAATCTAGATGCTGAAGTAGTGTGAGGTTAGAACCCGACCTACACAAAGTAAACTCACCTCTTCCAGCAACACATTGTCAAAAAGATTAAGACCGCAACAGATAACATCAACTGCATACTCTGTGCAATGTGACCCTCACCTGTAACAAACACGATATGAGTAATTAGTGTGTCTAAGGAGCCATTCACCTACAACACAGAACCACAATATGACTTATTAGTCTGTCTATTGTGCCCCTCGCCTGTAACACACAGCCACAATATGACTTATTAGTCTGTCTATTGTGCCCCTCGCCTGTAACAGACAAACACTAGGGGATTAAGTAGAATAAATATTAGGTATAAAACGTTAACTTTCAACGGCTTACATTCAACAGATTATGTATTTGAAACATACGGTTTTTACTATATTGACATTTTAATCTTCTTTCGTCCAATTGAACAAGTATTATTTTATTCATTATCTGGCCTCGAGCGCCTAACACTACCTGACGCTTCTCAAGCTGCGGTGACTCAGCAGGATGGTTCCGTGATTGGGTTCCACCTATTTACCTGTTTCTGCTTCACAGAACTCTCCTGTATATCTCCCTCTGCAGCCATGGGTACAATGCCCACTTCCTTGATGACAGGTGTTCGCAATGCAGTTCCAGCCACACAGCTTCTCACATCGGTCGCCATGCCAACCACGCCGACATCCCCGAGTGCACGTTCCAGTGTCAGTCTGACAGTAGTTGGTGTTTCTGTCGGAACCCAGGGCACAACCTGGAGGACAGGCTTGATCGCATGTTTCCCCAAACCTGCCCCAGTCACATGGTCTGTAGGTAGTGGACACTGTAACACAGACACAGCTTGTGAGAACACTATCAGACAAAACGTCTGTATATACATGTAAGTACATATCCCCTCACACATCCTGCCCCAGTCACATGGTCTGTGGGTAGTGGTCACTGCAACACAGACACAGCCTGTGAGAACACTATCAGACAAAACGTCTGTATATACATGTAAGTACATATCCCTGCAGACAATCTGCCCCAGTCACATGGTCTGTAGGTAGTGGTCACTGCAACACAGACACAGCTTGTGAGAACACTATCAGACAAAACGTCTGTCTATACATGTCATTACATATCCCTGGACACATCCTGCCCCAGTCACATGGTCTGTAGGTATTGGTCACTGCAACACAGACACAGCTAGTGAGAACACTATCAGACAAAACGTCTGTATATACATGTAAGTACATATCCCTGCACACATCCTGCCCCAGTCACATGGTCTGTAGGTAGTGGTCACGGCAACACAGACACAGCTTGTGAGAACACTACATGTTAAAACGTCTGTATTACATGTAAGTACATATCCACGGCTCACATCCCATTTAACGCAATCCTGCAGTAGCAGTCAATGGAAATACACGAGAGGGAGGCATTTATCAGCGTGATCGTACTGACGTGAGCCCACCATTCAGCAGGCACAACTATTTCCAAAATGATAAGACAAGCAGAGTCCATTGTACGATTCCGACTGTATCGTGAACATGTGTTCATCAATCGCAATCTAATATTGATGACACTAGATATTGGCGAAAATGTGAGCATATCCTACCTCACTGGTGGCATCCGTCACAAACACATGTAAAGGCAAGTAAATTGTTCACGGGAACATATAATCCAATCGGAAATTGCGTTGGACATGATTAATACAAGAAACTATGGTACTAATTGAATACAGACAGAACCATGCCCTTTTCTTAGCTTTAAGATGACAAATGGAGTGAGTGAGTGAGTGAGTGAGTGAGTGAGGTTTTACGCCGCTTTGAGCAATATTCCAGAAATGGGCTTCACACATGTCGGGAATCGAACCCGGGTCTTCGGCGTGACGAGCTAACGCTTTAACCACTAGGCTACCCGACCGCCCCTGATGATGATGACAAATGGAACTTTTTGTGAATAATAAATAAAAGTCAAGGATCTGATCATAAACCACTATTGACGTCAAAGGTCATGATAAAAATAAAAATAGAAAATAAAACTGATACAGTTAACTGAATTTCAAGCCAGACGAATGCCGATTTATACACAGCTGATCATGTAAAAACATAGAAGCTTCAACAGATCATGCATTCAGCAAATTGGAAACTTGGTAAACCTGAATATTTAACAGAGTATGTTACGAAGATTAAAAATCTACAATAGAAAACAGACGACAGATTAAGAGATTGTCAATGCAAACTAATCCACAGAATAATCACCACACAAACATGTCTGTATAAACTTGGTAAAATTGACAATTGGACTTGGTATTAAAACAGAACATGTTTCTTCTTTGCATTCAGTACAAAATATTTTGTGTCTGTAAGCCAATCAACACTCTACCTCAATCTTTAAATACTCTGTTCTCACTCGCTCTAAACCACCCAGTATTGTAATGACGTGAAATATAGCACTATATTGCATGTTATTTATGTTGAGACATTACAGACAATAGCCCCCCTTTAAGTATCATCTATTAAGAAGGTGGTGAATCGGATTTTGAATGAATTCGTGAATGTTTTATCCACGAGGCAAATGAGTTGGATGAACGTAAAGTTTTGTAAGACACTGTAAGACATGTTATCATGTCATAGAAGACAGTATCGCTTTATAAGTATGCCATTGGTACAGTCAGTGGAATCGCAGAATGAATATAAGTCACACTCGTGTACATTAACATTTCTCATTAAAAGAAAGCGGTCATACAAGGCCCTCGTAATTTCCCTTGCATATTGGGTGTCACTTTTGGAGCGCACTTTAGTGAGGAGTTCACATGTTACATCACGTAATCATGAATTATCTATTGGTTTAAAATCAACCCAAAATTAATGTTTGATTATGTCAAAACGTGATGTACATTTACATCTAATATCCAAATAGTCGTATGAAACTAGGAGCTGTCAATCTTCTGCATGCCATCTTCTCAACATCTATACTAAGTACCTTTGTTCTGACTTAACCCCTACACATAACTTATCAGGATCTGTTCAAAGAATTCTATCTGCGTACATGTTGTCTGTGTCTATGAACCTGTTCTTATGTTACAGAATTGCCCAATGTATCCATCTATACACCCGATGGTACATCCCCCGTTGCGCTGATTGCACGTGGTGCTGATGCAGTTCTGGCTACAAAGTAGATCAGAGTGGTACAAGATATTTACCATCCCTAAACACACAAACATGATAACCTATTTATCATTTAATGTCACTCTTCAGTTCTATGCTCGAAAACTCTTTCCATCTCTCACAAACATTACCTAAACATTGCGAGTTTTCCTGGAATGTGCACATGAATATATACAACGTCGGAGGGTAAGTGATGTGTCAGTCGGACAGTGACGTAGCCAATATAACCCCACTAAAACCTCAAGCCACTCTAACCCTAGTCCAACAAACGTCGCGGCCACAGTCAGGCGGTGTCCTATCACAACGTTACTAAGTGTAGTCAGATGTACATACAGCGACAAACCAAGTTTACAATTAATATAAACATATTTCGGCAAAATCCACTGGTTTAATCTGTGGAAAAGGTTCCAAGCCGCAGAGGACTACAAGCCCAGATGAAAACTGATCCCACTTGGCTAGTGCACTCAGAAAATAGTTTCGCAATTTATATCTCCAAAGTTTCCACAACATGTTAAAAAGCCTTAACTACGTCACATTTAAACACTGATTTTCAGTATGTTAACCTATTCTTTTGATGATGACAATTATCCCTGTAGTTTCTCCAGATTCCCAATGGTTAATTCTGATTCGACCGGTTGGGTTACAAGGATGACGCCATGTTTGTTTGCGAACACTGAAAGTAGTCCCTATTTGATATTTGCATCCCTATCTGCATATGGCCTCAATGGATATCGTTATTATCCGTTGGCTTTATCCTGCCGACAAACCTGCCCATTATATGATGGAGAACTGTATATGTGTAAGAGAGGATAAGAATTTATGGATGAACCACTTCTTTATTACAATTGAGAGCAACGTTTCTGTGTAGATTCTAACACCGTTATCAAGCAAGTGATATTCACACTCTGGATATCACTTGCTTGATAACGGTGTTAGAGCCTACACCGAAAGAAGTTGTTCATTCATAAAATCTTATCCGTATTCCAACTTCTAAATACCTATCAAAGAAGATGTATCTGTGTACCTGCTGTCTGTATCTGTGTACCCGTTGTTATGTTACAGAAATATCCAATGTATCCTTCTATACACCCGATGGTACATCCCCCGTTGCCTTGGTTGCAGATGGTGCTGGTGCAGTTCGGGCTACAGAGTTGATCACAGTGGTCACCATGCCAACCACGAACACACCCTTGCAAACACTTCCCAGTATCTTTGTCACAGGGTCGAAGGTTTCTGCCAAGGTAAAGTCCACAGTGATCTGAACATAGTCGGTCACAGTTGTGTCCATACTTGCCCCACTCGCACACCGGGACACCCTGTACTGCAGAAACTGAAAGCAGAAGTTAAAAAAGATAAGTTCCTTTCAAATTAATGTGGACAATAGTTGTTGCATTAAATCTGCAAGAGAGAAGAGTGACTCCCTTGAGTGAAGTTTTGTGTTTTAAACTCACAAATATAATTACATTGAAACGTAATCTAATAAGTGTCCACATTCCCGGGCAGAAAGTCCTGCAAAAGTCTCCTCAATGAAAACCGTTTAATGAAATATGGTCTATTAACCATTACTTGAAAGTTAATCTTAACTGAGGACAGAACAATAATCCCGTCAACAGAGAAAAAGGATAATCTTTTGTTAGTTGTTCATTGAAACACGAAAATTGGAAACAATGGGGTGTGTTTAGACATGCATGCACTTGAACCATAAATCTACACCACAGATGCATTGTTGATGTTAACATGTTGTACTCCTGAATGCAAGGTTTTGTGCAGTAAAACGTTTAATTTGCTTGACAGTGTTGGTTATGGTAGAATTTTATGACATCTGCGATTAAGTAATGGAAGTCTGTTGTGCCTGTTTAGAAACATGATTTTCGATTGTATACATGTCATGAATAGATTGTTTGTTTTTGAGAGACAATTGTGTTGTTTTACCAAATTAATCTGAGATATGAACTTGCGAGATAAAATAGGTATCATGAAAACACTGATATCAGAATTTGTGTATAGAGCTGTATCTGTGTACCTGTTGTTATGTTACAGAAATATCCAATGTATCCTTCTATACACCCGATGGTACATCCTCCGTTGCGCTGATTGCACGTGGTGTTGATGCAGTTCTGGCTACAGAATTTATCACAGTGGTCACCATGCTGACCACGGACACACCCTTGCAAACACTTCCCAGTATCTTTGTGACAGGGTCGAAGGTTTCTGCCAGGATGAAGTCCACAGTGATCTGAACATCGTCGGTCACAGTTGTGTCCATACTTGCCCCACTCGCACACGTGGACACCCTGTACTGCAGAAACTGAAAACAGCAGTTAAATGAGCAGTTACGTAGTAAGGGTCGAAGACCTGCTTCACGTCGGCCAAAACAGTGTTAAGCCAAGGTCACACACATTCTTGATCATATAGCCATTTACTGTTGGCAACCGAATTCCACTGTTCGGGAAATATATCAAACACAGGTCTATTGAAAATATTCATATGGTTTTATATACGAACGAACGAACACACACACACACACACACACACACACACACACACACACACACACACACACACACACACACACACACACACACACACACACACACACACACACACACACACACACACACACACACACACACACACACACACACACAGAGGTTACATAATAATAATAATAATAATCATAACAGGTTTGTATCTGTACCCTGTCAATATGAAAAATGCACTTACACACAATGATCAGCAACGATACAAACATCACAGCGTGTAGACAATCCATTCTGTAACACAAACAACACTAAATGTCACACTCGTGTGCTGTGAAGCTAAAGCAACTATAGGTCAATATGCAAACTTAC